ACGACTAGGTACTATAGCTTCGCCAAGTTTCATACTGGAGGTAGTGTAAGCAGTATCCACTTCCACGGTCTCCCCAGTAGCCAAGGATTCTAACTGAAATGACACTCGCTCACATACTACTGTTTTCGCAGAATTGAAAGTATTTACAACCAAGGGTTGCTTTGGGCCTTTAATACCCAAGCAACCAGCCAGTTCAGCATCTATCAATGTAACGTCTGAACCATTATCCAACAATGCATAAGTCTCTACTGAAGATTTCGGTCCTTTCACCTTAACTGGTAATACCCCTAAGAAAACTTGTGGGATGTCAAGGGGTCTAGAGATACTATTACAATTAACCGAATTCCCAGGTTCGTTCACTGTTCTCAGAAGTGGGTGCATATCCGTTAAACCACTACTTCTTTTATTTGTCGCCTTACAATTCCACTTTGTATGCCCAATCTTTAAACAACTGAAACACAGCCGCTTCTGCTTTGCCATTTTTAACCTTTCTACGGGTGACATAGCGATAAAGCGATTACAATCACTCAATTGATGCATGTTATGGCAGACAATACACTCATCCTTTCTCGTTGTGTCTTGAGACTTCACCACAAATGCCTTCCTTATATTCACTGGTTCCTTAGGTTCTACCTTAGAATGCAAAATGCTGGCGAATTTGCCCATCGCCTGGTTGACACTGTCCTTCACCAGTCTAAGAATATCATCAAACCTTGGCTCGATACCCTCCTCCTCTATACGAGAGCTTATTTTTACCCACTTCCTTTGCAGCCGAGTAGGTAGGCGTCTCGCAATTACCTCTAGGACTGAGCTCGAGTTGAGGTCACTCATGCAATTCATAGAAATCAAGGTATTCTTATAAGTCATAAGATTATCTAAAAACTCAGTAAGTGCCTTGGAGTCATCTTGAAGTTGACTGCCGTTACCTTTGACAGCTTCGTATACGTTCCTTACAATCATCGAAGGTCTTCCAAACCTTTGACGTAATATGCTCATAGCCTCAGCGTATCCCTCATTAGGGGGCATGAGCTTACAGCACTGTATAGCTCTTGAAGCATCTCCAGTGCAATACCTCATCAAATACATCAATTTCAATTCATCACTTAATAAAAAACTACTCAGCATGATCTCAAACTCCTTTACAAATTGTAAATAATCAGCCGGGTTTCCATCGAAACACCGTGGTTCAAATTTAGGGAGTTTGATGTTCCTATTATCCCTGAACGGCGAAACAGTAACATCAACCATGTCATGCTTAACATCAGACACATCGTTACAATTAACAGACAAGTCACCATGACTTACTTTCCTGTTTGCATCCAAGACGCTCTGTCCCTTCTTTGACCCAGGCATTGTTGAACTTGACCCAATTCCAAAAACGTTCCAGATATTGCTTGTTCAAAGAGGACTTGACCGGCACCAGGAAAGATGAACGGTGACTATCCAAACTGTCACCAACTGCCTGAATCCGCCAGAAACTGTTACTACTGTCAGAAACTGTCAGCCACGTCTCGTAAACCGTTAATGCCCAGCTCTTGCTACGCTCGGGCTCACGCTGTTCCTTGAAGTTTTTCAGAAACGCTTAGTAATAACGGACGAAAAACCAAAACACCGATTGGCCACTCGAGAATTCTTTATTGTTACACCAACATATAAAAATAATGTTTTTACTAGGGTCTGTGAACAAATATTACAATAATAAATCACAAGATTACTTCTGATGGTTTACTGCTGACTTCTTTCTGAACAGCGACCGATGAGACGATGACTGTCGTATTGATGCCTCCGCGAAAATCGGGGAAGTTGGTTTTGAGCAAACAACCAAGAATTGATCGTTCAATCTTCAACTCCATTGACATCACTACTAGAATACTGTCCATTTATTATAAGCAGCACTCGCACACGTGACAAGCTAAGGATGGAAAGTATCCAACGATATTTTACCTCAAAACTGCTTGTCTACGATTGTAAGAAAGACTACATCTCACGGTGCATGATCCTAAAACTCGACCCACTTTGGACAAGGCGACTTATTATAAACCTAATATTCTTCTTTAAGGTCCTTCACAAAATATCATTCTCAGGTAACAGGGACATACAATTCGCACAGGAAGGTTCTTACGATCTGCGTAACCAAACTTCCACAGTGACAACTCATTCTTTTAAGTCAACACTCCGTGAAAACTTCTTCACAGTCATGTATTCTAAAATATGGAATAGCCTACCCCTAGATGTCAGAACTTGCTCTTCGGTTACAAGCTTCAAACGCTCTCTATACAGACTGTTTCACTCTACTGATTATATTAATAAACTATTTACTCCTAGAACGAATCAAGCACTAATCTACTACAGCACCTAAAAGACGCACTTCAACACCCTTAGCAATCTTCAAACTATGAATAAACTAGCAGCATGGATGCATAAAGACTTAGTACGGAAGATACAGGATTAGTTTACCCTAAGAAATAGGACCTGTCACTCTATCGTAACCTTCAAACGCTTTCTATATAAACTGTTTCGGCCCAATGACCATCCCAGCCAGACCGCACCACTTATTTCTAAGACGCATCAGTTATTAGAACACTAAGACGCTTAGACTCATTAATATATATTATGACACTAAATAAACTCTAAGACTTCGCATAAATACGTGAAAACGCAGCTGCAATATAGAAAACTATTTACTAAAGTATAACATACAATTGACATAAACATTTATATATGCATGAAATATTAAATGTCCTTTTCATGTTCACATACTTTCTCTTTCGGGTATTCTGCTGCTCCTATTCATCTTCTGGTCGAGGTCGAACAACCCTGCACCTAAACTGAAATGAGGATTAATTCCAAACAGTCTATCTCATAACCACTCAAATTCCATGAACGATCCAATTCTACCATTTGAAGACGCTGGCGAACATGCTGTAAATGAGTATTCATGATCTGAAATGAAGAAGCAACTGGTTTTCAAACAGTTTACAAAATTTTACTCGACTTACGAATACAGTCCGCCATGCAGACACAAATGGAGCAAGTGGAGAATTCTGGAATCGACCTCGGCACCATTTGATGCAGTAAAACAACCCAACATGACCTTATCTAGTTTTCGTATCCACGATCAAATTTCTTTCCTGTTATAAAACTACGATAAGACTGCTGAAAAATGGAATAAATATATCACTGATCTCAACATAATACATCAATAATCTTTAAGCCAAGGGTGCTGTTCACAACAAAGTTATATAAGAGAATTGACTTCAAGCTTTATTTTTCCCAGATATCTGTATTACATCCATCTGATGTCTGGGTTTTTTGTTAATGCGAAGACAATATTTCTATATCTCTTTATGTGCTACACAAACAAACTTTATAGCAGACTGTTCCGACTGACTCTAATGTCAGAAAGGACAACCAAACTGTAAATTCATCATACATCAAATTATGTGTAATTTATATAATAACTTATCCATGCCTGTACAACTGGTATGTTCCTGCATAAACAGGAAGAAATATATATATTTATACTTGTATTGGAATTGATTGCTTCCTTGGCTTAAACTTCCCTCTTATCGGTTGGTAAACTTTGTCTCCCTCCATGTGTCCATGTGTTCGCTGGAATACTAGGCTTCTAAAAATTCTCTAGCGTTCTTGTTGTTTCCCTTGTATAATATTTGAATGCTGCCCCAGTTGAATTGATGTCCGTGGTTGTCTCTATGTAGTAATGTCTTTTGGCGGCTAATTCATGTTCATGGATATGAAGACGAAGAGGACGTCCATTTTGGCCAATGTTGTGTTTTCCGCAGTTGTTACAATTCATTTTGTAGACGATGATGGTTTGATTTTCGTTCGCTGCTAAGTGAAATGATTTCGTCGGTTGGTGTGTGAAGTAAATTCCTAAAGATTCGAAGAGTCTTGCAGTGATTTCTGAGATGCCCTTTATATATGGTAGTATGATTTTTTTGTGGCTTCCTTGGGGGTCGGTGATTTGATATGTTGGCTTGGAGGCGTATATCTTTTGACGAAATTCCGTGGATATTCATTCTTTTGAAGTACGTCGATGAGATATTTTTCTTCAATTTTCCTTAAGGTGGGAGTGCTGCAATGAGTCCTGGCCGTCTTGAATAGTATTTGTAAACAATTCAACTTATGTGTTGTTGAATTGTTGTTGATGTATATAAGTATTTGTTGTGTGTGGGTTGATTTTCTGTAAACCTGAGTTTCTTATTCCCCTGTGGCTGTTCCCTTGACTAAGACGTCTTAAAATAGGACTTTGTTCTCGGGTTCCTCTTTGTATATTTTTTGACAATAGTTTGTTAATCAATTACCTGTAAGATTAAACGAATCGTCTACTTGCCTCACTTTTCGTAAAACAATGGTTATCCTATCGGATAGCGTCCGATCATTTGAGAAAAATATTATTAAGTAGCAGGAGAGGACAAAATATGTGAAACTGACGGATTAAAAACGATTGTTCGAATCGGACACACCATAAAATCGGCACATTGATTCAGAAAAAGTGGAAAAATCAAACCAGCTGTAGCACCTGTGGGAGAATTTTGACTTGAAATTATAATTTGAGATTTCATTTAGGCATTTTTTAAGTATACACAGAGTAGACACGAACTTCCGTGAGACTGAACACGTTATCTGGTTAGTTCAAGATTGTTAGGAAAAGGTTAAAGTTAGGTTTTGTCTGGGAAATTTTAGGGCTTTATTGGTCTAATTAGAAGTATATGAGGATTGACTAAGGATAGATGAGGATTAAGCTAAGTGAAGTTAAGGGTTATTTTTGAGGCAGAAGGCTATATTTACATATCAGCGGTGTGGCACTCTGCAAAGTCATTCGTGTATTCACACCCATTAGGAGTCTATAGTTAAACTCTGCGATTTCGTCTTTTGTATTATGGGGCTTATATTACGGTAACAGCGGCGAAAAGAGTTAATAAGCCTTGTTTGTTTTATTATTAAGAAGGATAACTAACCTTGAAGAATTGACCTGTGGTAGACCTTCTAAGTTCGTTTGACCTTGAAGTACTTTTTGAGTATACTCTAGATTACGGGTAAAACACTCAGAAATGTTTTGTTCCTGTGACGCTTATTTAAGTTGCTTCTGAGACAGTCGCCCAGAAATATATGTTATAAATCTGGTAATTTAAAATTATTGTATGATATAGGCTGTTATATGTTAATATCCACTGGTGATATATATTTTAACACTGTGTTTTCGTTATCCTTTGTACAGAGGATTGCATATTTCTAACTGCGTGATCTTAGCCATAATTTCTAGTTGCATAAAAGGTAGTTGCTCTTCTATATGTAGCTACTGTGCACAACCATAAATCTTCGTAATTGTATTTTCCTAACTCCGAAAAATCTGCACAGCCGGTTTGGATTTGGTGTCACTTCTTTTCATGAAGTGAGATAAATCGGAAAAATTCGGATTTCTGCTAACTAAGTGAAATTTTGGCCTGTGGGAAGCGTAACAATTTTTTTTGAATTATTTATCAAAGTATTTTTTATTTATGTAACTGTTATATAAAGATTATTCGGTAATGCAGCTCAGATGTGTAGACCTTGAAGAAGTATTCATGCCAAATCTCATCTCTTTCAGGGAACGTTTCACTTGCACTTGCTGCATTTAACTATCATTTATTGTGTTTGACCCTCCTGGTTCCCTTACAGGAGTAGCAGTTGGTTGACTGAATAATCATTTCGTTAATGCAAGTAACTTAAAACTGCCTGTTGTAGGTTTTTGGTGAATGTGATAGAAATGGCGGTTTCTGGCGAGGCGAAACTTCTTGTGAATTTCACTATTTTGGCATTCTCCGTGTTCGTTTCTGTATATATGTCTTATTTCATCAGTGACCAGTTTATCTACTACCGGTAATGCATCTATTCTGTTTTTTTTATGAATAAGCAATTTTTCTGTTCCATTTTTTGTTGTTATGAAGCAGTGGTAAAATTTAATTTGGCTGTTAAATCTAAGACTGGGCAAATTATTTTATGTCTGTATTTGATATTTCCATGATTTCATCTCAATTGTAGTACCAGTTTCCAAGAAGTTACTTCCATGGCGTCATAAAAGAGATACATTGGAAAAGTGTGCAAACTATTCGTTTGTTGCTTTCTGACCTTAAGCGTATTGCGTTTTTCTATCCAGTGTTCATGTACGGAGTAACTTATGCTAACAGTGCAGCATGCGGTTCTGCTGTCATCACCCAACAAATAACTTTCTTTCATTTACAAACAATGTGCTAATTGTTTATTCACTGGAGCTCTCAGATGTAACTCACCAAGGCATTTATTCAACTTTCGCCAAAAATGATAAGACTGGAGTAGAAGGAAACGTACATCCACAGTTGGAGCCAGTTAATTTTTTCCATTAGTGCTTGAAATACTTAATCGTGATATTGTGACTTAGGTATATTTTTACAACCTAACTTAGTATAATTCTTCTGTACACTACTACTGATCATTTAGAGTGCAAGCTAATACTTGTAAAACTTTACACCAACTAACTTTCAACCGGATAATACTTGAAAAAAACCCTCTTCAGTTCTTTTTCCGAAATAATGCAAATACATCCAGATAAAAATTACCTATCTGTTAATTTTATTGTTATTTGATCCTTTCCCACTAACGGATAGGTAGTTGCATACACGTGACCTCCTTAATAAATTCTGATAAAAAGAGAAAAACTAAATTTGCATTATTAAACGATATCATTCTATTTCACAGGTTCTCATTAGTTACAAGCGTTGGTGGCATAGCGGTTAGGACGCTCGGTGACCATGCACATGGTCCGGGGTTTGATCTCCGACCGACTCACTCCTTTACCTCGCTAAGCTAGTAAGAGAACTGGCAAACAGGGAAGGTTGGGCATGAGGCTAGCAACCCATCCTGTAAAAGTAAACACTGTTACAGAAACTTCAAGCCTCCAGCTCGAAGCCCTATGAGCCACTGGGGAACGTGAAGAAAAAAGAACACTGTGGTGGGGATGTAACTAGTGTATAAAACCATGTAAAATATTGCACAGCATTTTGGTAGTCCTAAAACACGTAACATTAAATTTAAGCCAAACTACAGCTAACTTTGTAATTACCATATGTAAGCAACCGAATAAAGTGTCCCGTGACCTAAAACCTCTGATCATTTTACATCCACTTGCGACAACTTAGTCTCACTAGTCGGTGCAGACCAGTCACATTGCATCATTTTACATATAGCAGTAGGGAACTGTATGCCAATCATCATTAAGTATTTGCAAACATCCCTGTCTAAAAGCTATATATTGGCTGCACACTTCAAGTAGTAAGTGTCATATCAGAAAGTCGATTTTTGAAATAGTGAGGTCAAACAGTTTTATTTATTAGTTCGTTCACAACAATTGTAAACGAAAACACAGACGCGGGGCTTTTCAGGCAATGACTTCATAGAATTCTACATGGGCGTATTAATTTGAGTAGAATGTCTTGACGGGTGTAACAGACATTTTTAGCATATTCCTTCATAACAAACGCTACCATAACACCTCTGCTGACAGAGTCAGGTGCCTAAAGTAAGGACGTCCGTATCCCAAAAGTTGACTACTTGAAATAATGGAGAAATAACAGCTAGAATGTTAATACCGTTTGAAATAGATATAGCACACAAGCCAGCACAATCACTTCATTCGATGTTGTGCAAACTAAACGATCTAACAGAAAAGAAGATAAAATTAATACCATTTACAGAATAAACTGTGTGAACTGCAATGAACATTACATTGGTCCAAGTGGATGGCCCTTCGAATTCAAATGCAAGAACACAAATTGGTTGTAAAAGGGCATGATATATATTCTTTCATATCAATGCATGTAGGTAATTATGGACACCAGTTTGATTGGGATAATGTAGGAATTTTAAACAGAAGAAACACCAAAAGTGCTAGGGAATTTCTAGAAGCCCGTGCTCAAGTAAATCGGCGATTAACAAACATTAATATAGAGCAAATCACCAGTTGATACAAAGTAAGTCGCTTGACAAGAAAACTCGAATTCCAAGTCAATATAAAAATGATCAATAGAGACATAAATTAAAAACGAGTCATGACAGTGGTTGCCAGGAGATACAATTACATCATTCAAGAAGAATTCAAATAAATTCGTTCTATGACAAAACTTGTGCTGTCTAGAAGGACGACGAAAGCTTCGCAACTAATTCAGCTGAATAGTTGACCAATGCATTATCTCCCAATCTGAATTTGTCTTGATTTTATAGAGATTGCTTTCGTCGAACTCCATACAGTCCTCGAATAGCATTGGCTTTTGGACACCATAATGGTCATACTGACTTGCTGTGGTTATCACACCAAAATATGTTGCCTCTTTTGGAACTACTAAGATTCTATATCTGTTTGATGGAGCTGTTTCGAATTTTTGAACACCAAACAGTACCTTACCTAATCTAGTCGCTAATTCACCAGTACTATTTCTTCTAAATATCACTCAATTTGATCGGTCGGGTTCTCTACTTAATTTCAATTTCAGTTAGAGTTTGCTTAAGTCCTTGACTTTCAGCTGGTGGGTTTCGGGTTGGAATTCCCTACAGACTACTTTGATTCGGAAGGTTGGTGAATTTTTATGCTGTAAGAAATCAAGCGTAGCTCATAACATGGTGCACAAACGTGTACTGAACGACTGAGTGCAAATAATGTTTCCAAATCTCTAACTGTTTAGATGTGGTCATTTATTTTTTTGTGTTTGTACACTAATTTACTTCGTTTTTTAGTTGTCTGTCTGAGGAAGGGATCGATTATTGGTCAATGAATACAAACGATTCGTGAGTTGGAATAAATATACAGTAGTCTATTTATATTAACTTTGATAAAGATTTAGTTGACTTATTTCACACGACTCCATGCTACAAGGGATTGTGAATAAAACTTTGGATAAGAATATATTACAGCCTTGCTCGATACTAACACTTTAGACCAATCCCTGACCTTCATAATAACGTGTAACGGTACAATACGTCCGTGTTTGTTTTCTTTCTCTGAAGAGCTAGCAAGTAGTATCAACAGCTGTTTGCGTGAGCACTTTAAATTATTAAACTGACGTATAAATGAACATAATGGTAAGGTAGTTTAAGTCGCAGCACCTTACAGTTACACAGTTTAGGGAAAAAAGGCGATCGAGGAGTTGACAAACAGAATCAGATAACATACAAGAAAATGAGTGTTAAAACATCGTATAGTGATAAAGTTGTTGAATGATGAACAGCGTGTTTCTTAACAAAAATACTTTCAAGTTGCATCAACTTCCCTCTTTCAAGCTTAACTTAAACAGCTGGGTATTGTTAAGTATTTACTCATATCTACATCGTTTTCGTCTTGGATTGCATAACTTATCAGTTACATCTTCCTTCTGAGTAAAATGTATTAATACAGAGCGTCTACTATCGCTTTATTTGCGGTCAGATATACTGTGGTGAAATGCTTTGATGCACACTGGTTATCACTTTGCAATTGATAGTCTACTGTGGGAGGCAAACATTTCTCCGCTATGCTTTCGATATTATTCAATAATGAAAAAATACAATTTTGGTAACTTAATAAACCCAATAATAATAAACACAGGAGTCAGACAAGGGTGCTTATTATCACCAATGATATTCCTAATTGTAGTAGACAGGAATTTGCGCCAGACAGTGGGAAACGAGAAGACAGGGATATCCTGGACCGACGTGAAGAACCTAGAAGACCTGGATTTCGCGCGTGGATGATTTATGTTTGATGTCACACAAAATGGAAGACTTATAAGCGGAAACCGACAAACTGGTCGAAGAAGCAGACAGTGAAGACAGGACTCCAAGTGAACATAGCGGGACCTGATGGAATGACTCCAGAGGTATTTAAGTACGGTGGAGACAGTTTACTGTCTGCATTAACTGAGGTACTAGGCAGCATCTGGGAATCAGAAGAAGTCCCATCGGGTTGGTGTAAGTCACTGATTATCCCCCTATACAAGAAGGGAGACAAGTCTTCCTGTGATAATCACAGAGGGATTAGCTTGACTAATATGGTATCTAAAGTCTAGGCTCAATAATCATGCTTAGACTAAGTGGTGCTAGGGAGGCACAAACACGAGAGAGCCAGGCAGGCTTTAGACCAGGAAGAGGGTGTATTGATCATATCTTCACCCTCCGACAGATTCTAGAACACAGGGATTCCTACCGGCGTCCAACGGTCATTATATTTCTTGACCTAAAGGCAGCATTCGATTCTGTCGGCCGGGAGGTTCTCTGGAGATGCTTGGTTGTAAAGGGAATTCCGAGAAAATATATTGCACTGAATAAGGCACTCTACTCGTACTCATGCAGCCAGGTGAGGGCTTACGGCGAGTTGTCATCTGAACTGGTGACGACTAGTGGTGTCCGTCAGGGATGTCCATTATCCCCTTTTCTATTCAAGTTCATCATAGATGTACCAATGGACTTAACCCTAACTCACTTCAGAGACTCAGGGATAGACTTACTAACGTCAGGTAATAATCTCGTTGACGTAGAATGTGCAGACGATATAGTCCTCCTAGGCGACGACTATGACAAAATGCAGAGTCTTCTGAACACCTTGAGCCGCAATCTACGAATGTTTGGCATGCGATTCGCTCCCGCCAAATGCAAGATGATGTTACAGGACTGGACTACATCGACGCCTAGTTTAAAAATAGGGAGTGAAGTATTAGAGCACATGGACCCCAACGGGTTGGTCTCTGATGAATTCTCAGCACGGATACAGAGGGCTAGTTTCGCATATGCCAGTTTACGCCGTCTTTAGCGTAGACGTTATATCCGGCTGGCTATCGATCAAAGGGGGTGTGTACTGCTCAGCAGTTTGCTCCTTCCTCTTTTATGGCTGTGAGTGAGACCTGGCCATTGAGCGTGAAAGACATGAAAGGCCTAATTAGCTGTTTACGTTCTATCTCCCATATCAAGTGGCATAATAAGGTGAGTAATATTGAGGTTAGGCATCCGTCGAGTGCTACATAAGGAGATAAGGAAAATCAACAGACCAGGCTGTGAAATTACATCGACTGAGATGGTTAGGACATGTGTTACGTATGGTTAGTCATCGCTTTCCTCGACGAGCAATCTTAGCGGATATAGGGTCAGGTTGGAAAAAAGCTAGCGGAGGTCAAACAAAAACTTGGCACCAATCAATGAAATCTACAAAAGTTAGTCTAAGCCACGTAGGAAAGTGTAGACTTCTTGGCTGGTTGGGGTCCTCGGGACGGTAAAAACCAATAGTTGGAAACAATTGGTGACATGGCTCAAAATCGTTCTCAGTGGCGCAGATGCGTCCACTCCTTGTGACTTATGATTTCCAATGAAACTGTTTTGTTCTTCGTTATTACTATTGCTTTGTCTCACACCTCTGCTTACTGTCTCTATTATGCATTTCTTCTAATTTCTTCTCTTGCTTCGTGTGCTACACGGAGTGTGGCGACTTGAACTTCCGCACATTTGTGCAAAGTTCTATGTCGAAAACAGACAGACAGGAGTGAACATAGACAAGACGGAGGTTATGAAAATAACCAACCAACAACAACAACAGCAGCAGAAACATCCAGAGTCAATCACCATCAACGGGAGGGATTTGAAAGAGGTTACTTCATTCACTTATCTAGAGAGGGAGCATTGTCTCAACTACAGGCAGTCAAATCGAGCGGGAATCGGGAAGGCCAGCGAGAAACACATTCATCAACCTGACTGAAACCAATCTGGAAATCTTTGTCACTCAGCCAGTATCAACAACAAAATTCGTTCGGGTTTTCAATACAAACATCAAGTCAGTCAGTCAGTTCTTCTATACGGATCGGATCAGAAACTTAGCGGGTGGGTCACAAAGAATATTTCCACCAACAGCCTGTTGCAGACCTTCATCAACAACTAACTGTCTTCGCTGGCTCTATACTGAAGATCAGATGGCCGGGCCGGAAAGAATCACCAACTAGGGGAAACTATGCGAACAAACAAAACAAGAACCAATCGCCAACCAACAAATATGAGGGAGGAAGTGGAGATGGAGTGAACACTCGCTGAGGCTGGAGGCCACTCGGTGACACCACGCGCGCGTGAGGCCATTCCCCGAATGGAACCCGAAAGGGAAGCACGTGGCGAGTAGGACGTCAGTTCAAGGGTGACATGGAGGAGATCGTGTGAAGAGGAGTTGAAACAGTATGGACTAACATGGATGAAGGTGAAAAGTACGGCGGAAGACAGAAGCAAGTGGAGACGTGCAGTTGAAGTCCTATGTTCTACTAGGAACCCAAGGGAACTATAATAATAATATAATAATTATAATACTAAGAACATACTTTTCAGTGAAGAGGCTCTTTCCAAGGAATTTATTATTAAGCTGTACAAAACGTATATATATATATATGATTTTCGAAAACTATATCCCGTGGGGAGATTTAAACAATGTGTGATTGCTAATAATAATGTGCATTGAGACAAAATAATTGTGCTTATAACCCTAGTTAAATACGAATTGATAAAATAGGTTATGTAATTTATAAAGTAGTTCATGGAACGTACACAGGAAGGTGTACAGATTGATCTGTGCACCCTTATTATTACCACTGTTATTAAAGCAATGATTTCAACAGAACTCTTCTTTCGACGATTTCATTTTTACAGCTGCGCAGTTGTGTTTATGTATGAACTTTATAAAAAATGATAACAAGTAGTTTTGCTTTTTTCTTTGTGTTTGTGTTGAGACTTGACAGTGAATGGAAATGCTATAGTGTGACCATACTGGTATGGATGATTTCGAATCACAAACTAATTAAAAATATGAGTGAATAAAGAAAGGTCAAAACAAAGTTCAATAAACATGAGTAAATAGATGACAGAAATATTAAATACATTCGGAAATCTAAATATATACATTTTTTAGGTCAGATACAGTAAGATGACTGAAGTGTTGTCAATAAGATTGCCCAAGCTTCTGTTACACAAGGCGAATGCGCTTGTATCCCTTTCGACGAACTTTGTGGGACTTTGAAAACTACATTGAAGGATGCATCAGAAGCTGTATATGGTCACTATCTACTATATGTTGCTATATAGGTGAATTAGTGGTTTTACACTCGCCTTTGCTTAGCCAAGGTGGGAGGTGCTCTCGAACACGGTGAGATATGTTACTCAGCGAAAGTCTTATGTATCTAGTTCCAAAAGAGTAGGTGAAAAAAAAAAAAATAAGCATCGAATCGGACAGTCGAGGTAACATTTCCTTAACATTAAGGGGCACCAGTGTACAGCTAGTGTAAGCTATGCGTTAAGTGGTAACGAAGATGTTTTCATCAATGATCGTGTTGACCGGTTATTAAGGACTTTACTCATATACTCTAAGTTCAGATGCAACACTTTCTTAGGTACCTTAATACACTCTATGCTTCTCTCATATAATTTGCTCTTAACACTGACAGAGAGTGTTGGATAGGCATTCTTTTCTTTTAGTTGTCGGCGTTCTTCATCAACACTGTCTTCACTACAAATTTTGCAGACGAATGACAAGAGAGAGAGAGAGAGGAAGGATCAAATTCCTTTTTCTGTCAGTGATAACAAAACTGTAAAAATTAGTCAGTTGCCTTGTTCATATAACTTTTCTTTGAATCCGTCTATTGCTATTTTGAAAATGTGATCTGTTTAGTTGTTTGTAACGATTAAGACAAGGGCTAGGCAACAGATGGTTGTTTATTGAAAAAATCAACAGACATTTATTTTAATTTTTTTGTGCGTCGGTGGCACAGTGGTTAGGACTCTCGCCGACCATGCACATGGTCCGAGGTTCGATCCCCTGCCGACGCACACCTGATATCTATGGTCGGCCTCTGAAATTTGGGCTACCGATATCCATGCTGAAAATTCCATACTTGTACGAAAAATACAGTGTGGAATCAAGCTGTAATCAAAAAAAAAAAATAAAAAAAATAAAAAAAAAATATTATTATTATTATTAATTTTACCCTATGTGGTTTCCGATATTATTTCATTTCTCGCGAATCATTGATTCAATTCAATGGGCAATGCTAAACTCCATCTTTACAAACTTCTCACCCTGTTTAGTTTCCCACCCCCATCTATGATTTATACATTTCATGACCTATTTTATATATTACATAGCCTATTTATCAATGCCATATATATATATATATATATATATATATATATAAACAATTGTATGGCTTAATAATAAGTTCCTTCGAAAGTCTTTCCACTGAATGTTATGTTCTTAAACTACCACTTGTCTTCAAAACCTGCTACTTGTGCATGTAGCATTGCTTTCGGCATTAAGATGTTTACGATGACCAACAGCCAATTCAGAGCAAAATACATGAACGACTCATGCAATCTGTGTTGATGCGTTACAAGTGAATTGAATTAAAGCCCGCTTTGACAATATTTCATCATTGCTATTGAAATTTTGTTTTATTACTGTCATACAAATTTACACATGGATGGTGAAGTGATAGCTACTTTATTCTGTCTCCAGTGTCATATATTTATTTTAGTTCGATATCGTGTAATTTATCATATAGATAGTGGCATAGTCCCATATTCTGTTAAGTCTAGTTAGTATTTCTTCAGTATTGTTAGCAATTCATGCTCTCGTAAGTTTGGCAGTCATGGGTACAAAGATAGGTTTTGGATTCTAATTTTTTATTTTATTTTTATTTTTGATGATAGCTTGATTCTACACAGTACTTTTTGGCACAGTTAAGGAATTTTCAGCATGTGATATCAGTAGCCCAAATTTTGCAGGTTGACCATTGATATCAAGTATTATGTATTCGCAAAAATATTATACTTTTGTTTGGTTCTGAAATGATTGTAAAATTATGTTGATTTGTTTTAAATTTTAGTTCAGCTGGACGCGAAAGGGCTCAAAAGAAAACAGCTGTTATTCAGTCTGTTAAAAATTTTCTTGGCTTAGGCTTTGGAATTTTGTCTACACTTTTTGTTGGTTATATGTCTGATAAGCGTGGTCGGCGATTTGCCCTTGGGATCATTTTGCTTGGAGAAGCATTAAAAGTGCTGGCTGTTAGTAGGTTATTCCTTATGTCACTTTTTATTTTTTTTGCAATCAAAAATCGATAGATATCCTTCTCATGTTACCTCCAACTGTATATACAAATTTACGTGTATCTGCGGGAGCAGTTACATTGGAAGAACAGAAAGAAGGGCATATCTACGATTTTCTGAACACGTACGAAAAAGCTTACGTCTAAAGGGAACAAATGCTTTAAACAGTGCCATCGCCAGGCATCTCCTCGACACGGGTCATGAGGTGGACGTTGAAAAGTCGTTCAAAATTATCAATAGGCAAAAGAGCTCAATTCTCCTTAAGTTTGCTGAAGCGATTTCTATCAAGCGCTCGAAACCAGATCTATGTGTTCAGAAAGAAGCAGTTATTGGTCTTTCCTTGCCTTGGTAACTGGATGCCTTTTTTTCTCTCATCTGATTACGTAATCTTTGTCTTTAACCTCACCCTCCCTTTTATAATCTGTAATTTTGCTTGTATCTTGTTTCTATGATTTGAGCTCAACTCAGTACATTGTTACCTAACTTACTAGTCACTATGCATCTAACGCATATCTCATCTTTATTGCGTAACTCCTTTACCATTTTCTGCATACATTTAATTTGTTTTAACTTGAACTGCCTGTGTGAAAATTATATAAGTGCAATCTTCTGAGCACTGTTTACTAATTGTGGAATTCTCTGTCAACTGACAACATGTAAAATTTGCAAGTATGTTAAAACATGTCTGTACTTAAACCTCATAATTTATTTAGGCTGTAAGCAGCTGATGAGAAGCCAACAAAATAAATGATGGTACCACATTATTCTGCTAAAACTGTAGTTCTTGCTTTGTTCAAACTATTTTTTCCGTCAGATTTCTCCAAAAATATCTGCTTTTTAGTTGTTTTTACTGTCCATCTGTGAACTGAACTCAGCTGTATCCTCTACGAACAACCTTGTACGACGAAAATCAGTTCAAGTCGCAACATTTTATAAAAGAAAGGATAAGAGAGAAACTATAGTTGGAAATTAACGCGAGGAGAATTAATTGTTTAGGAAGTCATGAAAATCAGATGGATCTAGAAGGCCACAAAGACGGAAGGCATATGCGTCACTGGGATTGATTTTGAGCAATATTACCAACAATCTCCAGACACTGACTTCCAGCACCTCAAAGACCTCAGCCAGCCAGACACTCTACACCTCCACAACACGGAATATACACAACGGGTCATCGGAGTTATTAAGAAGACAGTTGCAGCGAAGAAAATTGCATGAACAATTATTCATTACATTAGTTTTTTATCTAAACATCCTGTCTGTTTTTTTATTCCTACATTTCTAATTCCCAATTGCACAATGTCAATCTTCTTAGTAATTACGATGCTACTTTGTTTGAGTTTTATCCGTCCCCCTGTTTATTATGGCATTTTAATTCCTAATTGTATTTTTTTTTAATTTGACCCGTAACCGGAAATTATTCTGGAACTTTCCCATCCATTTGATATATGTACACGAATGTACAACCTAGATGATGACTTCGTCGAAAAGAAAATTTTCTTTGCTGCAACTATCTTCTTAATAACTCCTATGACCTCCACAACAGTTAAGGACTTCATGGATTGATGTCATGTTTTGGTTTTACCACCCCTAACTGTTTTCCAACTTAATCCTGGTATACCAGCTAACATTGATTGATGAGAAAGACGGCTGCTTGGCATGCGTAACACATGTCCCAGGCTTTTCAACTGATCAACTCTCCCTCCTTACACTCTTATCCTAACCTCATCAGTACACCTATGATGAAGTAAGTACACGTACCAAAGCATGGGCATTTGAGAAACATTAAAAAAAGATTGTTTTCAGCCTTTTTTTAACAAATACCAAAAATGGGACTGAGTTTGTGCATCATCTATCGGAAACTAGTCACTTTGTAGATAATCTGAAGGTGGCCACAATAATCATCAAGCAATCGCTATCAGATGGTTAAAACCCGATCTATATATACACTGAAAGAGACAGTTGTGCACCGTGCAGTAGCCTGATAAGTTATACTTACAAAACAAAGTTATGCAATCTTTACTACAGTATATATTCTATGTGTTTTCTTGTGTTCAGAAAACTTATATTTTTCATCTAAACGTTACTTGTTACTTTTAAGTTAACTAATTTTTGTAGTTACGTAACCTATTTTACTGAAATACTGCTAGTTAAACTTTGTTTCCATCCAAAGTTTTTGTAAAGATTTGATTGTCACACGTGTGTTCCACCTAGTTATTTCAGTTTTTGAGCGAATTTAACAAAGTCAGTAAACTGGGGTACATTGAGTCTTGTAAATGGAGGTCACGATAAGAAAATCATATTGATTTCCACAAATTGTCACTAACGTTCTTATTACGGATGTCTTTATAACACTGATTAGCAATCTTCAGTTGTATTTACACTAGTAGACTGATTATGTATGCTTATGCTAGATGTATATTTTCATAAACATTTATGCACGAAGTGGCTTGCTCTTCAGGTAAGTGATCACTCGTATCATGCACTTACTTTAGAAAAGCACCAGGCATCTTTGACATCATACACATGGTTCTCTTGATAAATTTCCACAGAACAAACAGATCAAATTTGCAAATTTACTAAATAATGACTTCCTACGTGGACGTACTGCAGACGAATGAGTCTAGAATTTTGTTGCACTAAGGGCATTTGCTACTGTTTGACTGTCGTTTTAAATCGTAGACTAAAGTGAATAACATTACTAGAAAAGTGCTTAACTTTCCTTGTTTGTTTTTTGTCTTTTCTATCGAAGGTGTTGTAGTGTTTTTCAATCTGTCTCCATGGGTTTTTGTATTGTGTGAAATATTAGAAGGAATAATTGGAGGAGGATTATTATCGGTTGCAGCACAGTTAGCCGCCTGTATTGCAGATATAACCCACAGTTCGAAATGTGTTGCTGTACCGGGTTCAAATATTGATCAGATGAAATATACGAGAAGAATGATAAAAAAGCGTTGGCTTTTATTCACCTTACTTGATGCCGTAATCACTTGTGGGATGGCTTTTGCGAATGTACTATCAGGTAGATTTTTCGTTTGTTGAATACCAACTGATCTAAAAAAAATATGAGGATTTTTGCGTTCAGAAAGTTGTAACACCACATTACTCAATATTATTATTATTGCTCCCTTGGGTTCCTAGTGGAACATAGGGCTTCAACTGCACGTCTCCATTTTCTTCTGTCCTCTGCTGTATTTTTCGCCTGCATCCATGTTAGTCCATACTCTTTCAACTCATCTTCACACGATCTCCTCCATGTCACCCTTGGACGTCCCACACGCCGCTTCCCTTTGGGGTTCCACTTGAGGGCTTGACGCGCGATGTCACCCAGTGGTCTCCTCAGCGAGTGTCCGATCCATCTCCACTTTCTCCTGCATATTTGTTGGGCGATTGGTTCTTGCTTTGTTTGTTCGCATAGTTCCTAGTTGGTGATTCTTTCCGGCCCGGCCATCTGATCTTCAGTATAGAGCCAGCGAAGACAGTTGTTGATGAAGGTCTGCAACAGGCTGTTGGGGAAATATTCTTTGTGACCCACCCGCTAAGTTTCTGATCCGTATAGAAGAACTGACTGACTGACTGATGTTTGTATTGAAAATCCGACATTTTGTTGTTGATGCTGAGTGACGAAGATTTCCAGATTGGTTTCAGTCGTTGATGAATGTGTTTCTCGCCTTCCCGATTCTCGCTCGATTTGACATCCTCGTCCACTCCTCCTGTAGTTGAGACAATGCTCCCTAGATAAGTGAATGAAGTAACCTCTTTCAAATCCCTCCCGTTGATGGTGATTGACGTTGGATGTTGCTGTTGTTGTTGTTGGTTGATTATTTTCATAACCTCCGTCTTGTCTATGTTTACCTGGAGTCCTGTCTTCGCCGGCTGCTTCTTCGACCAGTTTGTCGGTTTTCGCTTGTAAGTCTTCGATTGTGTGTGACATCAAACATAAATCATCCATACGCGAAATCCAGGTCTTCTAGGTTCTTCACGTCGGTCCAGGATATTCCTGTCTTCTCGTTTCCCACTGTCTGACGCATAATCCAGTCCACCACAATTAGGAATATCATTGGTGATAATAAGCACCCTTGTCTGACTCCTGTGTTTACTCCAAACGCCTCGCTGAGTTTTCCGTTGTGGATCACTTGACATGTGCCGTTGTCGTACAGCTGTTGAATAAGGTTGATGAATATTTGGGGTACGCCGTAGTACTCGAGTAATTTCCAAATTACTTCACGATCAACGCTGTCGAAGGCCTTCTCAAAGTCTATAAAGTTGAGGTAGAGGTTTGATTGCCATTCCATGCTTTGTTCTGTGATGATGATGCGTAGAGTTGCAATTTGGTCAGTACATGATTTGCCTTTCCTGAATCCAGCTTGTTCTGGTCGGAGTTCTGTCTCCAGTGCGTCCTTTAATCTCTCCAGGATGATGCGACTCAGGATTTTACTTGGCGTCGATAGGAGCATGATTCCTCGCCAGTTCTTGCAGAGTGTGGCCTAAGTCGCCCTTCTTTGGTAGTTTCACGAGGTAACCTTTCCTCCAGTCAGTAGGCACCTTTCCCTCCTTCCAGACCTTTTGCAATAATGGAGTCAGCATGTCTGCTGTAGTCTCTGGGTCTGCTTTCAGTGCTTCAGGGGGTATTCCATCTGGTCCGGCTGCTTTTCCAGCTTTCAGAAGCTTGATTGCGTTCAAGACTTCAGCTCTCGTTGGAGGATTGGTGTCAACTTGCAGTTGTGTGCGCGCTGTTGTTGGTATTTCTGGACGGGTTGCAGGTGATGGTCGGTTCAAGAGTCCTTTGAAGTGATCCGCCCATTGTTTAATCTGTTTTTCTTCCTTGGTAATTGGGTTCCCTTGGCTGTCTTTTATAGGTTTCGCTTGTGTTGATCTCTTCCCGGATAGAGATTTGGTTATCTGATATAGTGTCCTCAGGTCCCTTTTGCCTGCTGCCTTTTCAGCTTCAGTGGCAAGGTTGTCGTAGAATCGTCTTTTGTCCTTCCTAGCACTCTTCTTCACTTCTTTGTCCAGTGCTTTGTAAGTTGAGCTCATCGTCTCTTTCTCCTGTCCGTCCTTGCATTGAATCATTTTCTCTTTCACCATTCTCCTCTCTTCTATTAATTTCCAAGTGTCCGTTGAGAGCCATTCCTTGTCTTGTCTCTTCTTTCTTCCTAGAACCGTTGAACACGTTTCGTTGAGAATCGCCTTCAGAGACTTCCAATGTTCTTCCACGCATGATTCTTCAGTGATGTCGCGTAGTGTTTCCTGCTTTGCTCTGACAGTTGCAGTGAAAGTGTCTTTTGTGGTTGTGTCCTTCAGTAATTGAGTGTTGAACTTGCATTGTGGCCTATCCACATTGCTTAATATATGTATTATGTATTAGCGGATATTAGCCTGATCCCGTTAAAATATCAGTGCAAGGGAAACTCTATTCGGGAAACTAATGCATATTGAAAACTTTGATACTCTAAATTGTTTCTTCAAAATGTACACCATTTTGATTGTGCTAGTTATCTGGGTCTTAGCTTCAATTTAAATTTGTCGATAAGGCGAGTGCCTTGGTAAATGCACAAATGCACAGCTGGTAGTTTTATTGGATGGATTTTAGACTTTAGTGTTGTTATTATTATAGCTACTATGATTGTTGGAGTAAATATGTCAAGCCTACCTTTCCTGTTCAGTTGAAACTAAATAACCTGATGTCTTCTTATCTAATTTTCATAGCTGATTGATTTGTTCACATACTTGCATTACTGGTCTTATGGTTTCTTTTATTTACATTTACAGAGTTAGAGCATCTGATGTTGAGGAGATGCATTTGTATATCATAAGCAATTGAATGAAATAACTATTTATAACATGTGTGGAAGGAGTCTCCGCTTTAAAAATTTAAAGCAGTTAGTTCCCTTTATGAATTTAAACAGAGCAAGAATGGAGGATTTCAGCATGCAATGACATCGGTTAGAGAACGCACTCCGGTGGATGCGCACTGTTGAAGAGTGTTAAACTAGGACGCAACAGCTGTCCAGTGCTCCCAGGTTTTCCAGTGGTTCTTTAACCGATGCCACTTCATGACTAAATCCTCCAACCAATCAAACAAAATCCCTACAAACCAATAATTGAAAAGCAGAAAGAAGATGTAGTTTGTCTGAATCGTGTAATGTATTCGCGGAACACATTTCGAACAATCTGATCACACGGGACTTGTTATATGAAATTAATAAAGAGGTAAGAGGTGAGAGAATAAATTTAGGTCAAGTTAAAAGGACATACTGACGGTCAAAATAACAGTGATCACTAAACTAAATAAGGGAGTTAATAGTACATCTACCCTTGTATCAAGAAAAGTTTAGCAAGGAAGTTTAGGTGTGATGACGAATTGTTTTCAAACGCATTAAGTTGGTTTAAACTTCCTAATTGCCAGCTTGGGCTTCCATAAACTTTAGGACATGTTATATATAGATAGATAGGTTTAAAATATATGTAAACATCAATTGTATGTCCTGTCTGTGTAATATGTTTCGCAACAGAGGAGTTAGGTCTCCTGGTCTCACCATAATGAGTCCTGGGCATTCTGTTTGTATCTGAAGCCATTTAGGAATATGCTCCGAAGCTCTTACTTGCAGAGACCGATGAGTCCTCCTTATGTATGTGTGGCTACATGTACATTCAAAATGGTAAATACAGTGGGATGTAACATCATTTTTCTCATGTTCTAAGGGTTTAGATAGATATATCGGCTTCACATTCTCAATTATTATGATCTTAGCTGCATGAAAGGTCTTTTTAACAGCAACGTTCAATCTCTGTCGAGTTACCAGGCTGCTATGGTGACCCATATCAGGTAGCTTGGTGTATACGTCTTTCTTAGTGGTGAGTTGGAGATTGAGTCTTGATCTTCTGACTAATTTATATCTAATGAATTTGTCTGGATGATTATTATCAACCAGTGTTTGTTTCTTCCTCATCAAGTGTGTCTTCAGTGCATATTCATTGGATTCTACTTAAGAGCGCCTTACTGAGGCTCTTTTGCAGTGAACAGGTCAGAAACTGTGATAAATAGATAGTTTTATTGACCCATCAGGCCGTCGACTAAGCAATATATCTAGAAAAGATAAATAGTTATCCTCCTGTTCTACAGGCATAAGTAATATGGTGTTCTGAACTTCATTCATTCGATTTAAATTTGAGGTGGCAGAACAAGGCTTATCACTTATGATTACAATGTCGTCTACATACCTTCAATAAAGTGGTTCATTTCCGATTAAGTCTTCAGGTAGACTTTCAATACACGACATATACATATCTGCTAAAAGGGGCCGTAACGGACTTCCCACAGGAACACCATCAACCTGACGGAAGCAATTGCCTTCAAATGTGAACGTAACATTGCTAGTACATAGATGTAATAAATCCTTTAAATATGATCCTCGATGTTATTTTAACCTTCAATATGTCCTTTTAACTTGACCTAGATTTATTTTCTCACCTCTTACCTCTTCATTAATTTCACATATATTCCTATGACAAGTCAGTGTGTGACCAGATTGTTCGAAATGTGTTCCGCGAATACATTACACGATTCAGACAAACTACATCTTCTTAATGCTTTGTCAAAATTTGTTACCTGTTCGAGTTGGTGTTCCACATCTTTTTGGTTTGAATCAAAATCGAATTAACAGAAGTTTAAGTGTGATTATTGCCTTTCAGTTGTTATTCTTAAATAGTAAACAAACTGGAAACACTTTGTAATTGAAACAAACAAACAAACAAATAATTTTTAGCATTTTTCTTAGTTATTCACAAAGTGGTGATCTGTCATTCATATAAGTACCATTGGTCCAATTTAAACAAGATCAGCCTTCTTTGTTGTTTATTACACATGAAGTGTTGTCCTTGAGAGGGTTGGCTAGTTCGATAGTTAGCTAGCTAGCTAGTTAGTTAGTTAAGTGTTGTTTTCTGTCTATGGCTTTATTTTGTTTGAAAAAAAATGAGATGTATTCCACTTAGAATATTTTATCATCGTATCATTTTTCTCTCTACAGGTTTTATGATTGTGCATTATCGTTTCTATGCAACTATGTTAACATGTATCAGCTTTTTAATTCCACTTCCAATTAATTTATGTTGTATGACTGAGACAAGTGTACAAGCTGTTCAAGTCGGTGTAACTGTTGTTGAAAATTCATCAAATCAACTGTCTGATAATATTTCAATTATTACAACAGAAGATAATGAACCACAAACATCACAGGATAGTTACTCTGTTCAAAAGAATTCTAATAATGGTTGTAGGAATAAGTTACGCGTAAGAATCTACTCACTGTTTATTATTTAATTACTTCTATGTGTCTATTTATTATAAGTATAGAATTGATCTTATGTTATACAGAAACATGAACAAGAGGATTAGTTTTTGTTGTATGTAAAATGTGTGAATTATCTTCTTTTTGTTTTTTTACTGATGGCAGCCAACCTATCCGGTAGTGATTACAAGTGATACAACACTTATGCAATATAAAAACAGAATTTAAGTACTGTGGTAGACTGTAATTCCATCATAGAGTAAATTTGTTTGAAATAAAAAGACAAACCCAGTGATGTACAGTATTGTTTATTGTATGTCGTTTACAGTAGAATTTATTGCTGATCACAATCATATTCAGGCACTCACATAACTTTCGAAATTTGTTTATATCACTCCAATTATTCCTTGTCCTTGAATTGTATTAGTAGTAATATTTTCCATATCTCTAATATTGGTGTTAAGTGTAAATTCGATGCACATCCAGATTCGGTACTTAACTTATTTTTATTTATTTTTTTAATTTTTTATTTACAGCTTGATTCCACACTGTATTTTCGGTACAAGCATGGAATTTTCAGCATGGATATCGGTAGCCCAAATTTTGCAGCCGACCATAGATATCAGATGTGCGTCGGTGCGGGCTCGAACCCCGGACCATGTGCATGGTCGGCGAGAGTCCTAACCACTGTGCCACCGACGCACATCTACGTATATTACTTTTTAAAACTGTAGGTCTGTCCCACCCTATTATGTGGTTTTATGTTACTACATGTATTGTAATTGTTGGCCCTTTATCTACACTATTCATCTTCGTGAGGTCAACCAGAGATACCAGAGATATGGAGATATATTGCCAATAAAATCGAAAGATTACAAATAATAGAACTGTATAAACGAAGCAGGAAAGTTATGTGAATGCCTTGGTATGATTATGAGCAATAAATTGTGTTCAGAACGTCATCATTAAATATGAATGTATAACACTGTAAGACTATCAAAATAAATTTGCTCTATCATTGCACACATATGCAACTTTGTAAGTTATATGTGAAAAAACTACATTTATGATTCGCTTGCGAAATTCCCTCGAAAAGAATATTTCCAACTTCTGCATAATGTAGAAGTTAGAATTGATGCACTGGCCATTGAATCGGGTCCCAGTGTTATTGGATGGCATACGAGCTTGCCTTGTAGCTGGAAGGTCCTGGGTTCGAGCCCCAGTGGGCGTCTACTACCAATGATTCCCAAACTAGGATGAAACAGCAGCTGTCCAGTACTCCCTAGTTTTCAGTGGTTCTCTAACTGATATCACTCCGTGATCAACTCGTAAATGCTACATGAGGGCCTGAAAAATCAATATGTAAAGTCATGATCTACTAGTAGGAATCTGCTTCACTACAAAAATACATTTGATTAATACTACCCTTCCGGTTTCTCCTGTCGAAGGTCTAATCGATTCTCTTGTATTGTGGTTAAATGAAATCTTCTTCAGAGTCCCTAGCTTATTTATTTGTGAATTTCAAGTTGAGTAGAATCAGTCTTTCGCATTGGACATACATACTAACTACAACCACGGCTACAATGACTAGCGTGACAATACTATATCTAAAGTTAACTGTAGAATACATCTCTTGAAGAATTGATTTCTAACAGTTGATATTTGAAGATTTACTGTTATATTTAAGCAAAGAAACGTGGTCACCACTTCTATCCCATACCTTCTTTTGTGCATTTTTCGGTTGACACTTCATTAGAGAACCAGTTAGTGCATGTCCATTGCAGTAGATGATAGTAATTCTTGGAGTTAAGAGTATTGCTTCCAGACGATAATAACAAAGCGAATCTGTGTTGTCTGTCTCTTTTTATGACTTCATGGATGTAGGCTTGTCAGCAAGTCATGAGTACAGAGTGGACAAAGTATTTAATCTGATAAATAGTTGTAGATTAACAACACTTTGACACGGATTGTTGCCCATCTGATATATTAAACTTTTTCATACATAATCATGCACACAATGTCTGCAAAACTGATTCATTGTTAAGGTAAATGAAATCAAATATTAACTGCTTCACAATATAGTCAAAGTGGCAAACCAACATAATATGTTCTACTAGTTACAATTCACAATAGTAAAAAAAAGAGAATGCAATCGAAAATGACAGTGAAGTTGTGAAAAATAATTACGAGGGTAGGGTGAGTCATTAAGTGAAGTGTTGAGAATCTCGAGAATTTTATACACACAATTCCATTGATTAGTTTGAAGATAGCAAGAGGGAATATATTTTCAGGATAAAAATTACTCCTTTTTCCCTCAGCTGCTGACAGCCTGAAAATAACATAAGCTAAAATAGACATAAATACATAACATACTTAAAAAATTATTTTAATAAGTCTTATCTCAGTAGTGGAACAAAATGTATGATTATAAGGTAGTTCTAAAATGAACGACCATAGTTCATGTATACATAGTATCATAGAGAGTTCGTGAACAGAGGGTGGAACCGAAAAGATATGGTAAGTAAAAGTAAAATTATCAATTAAGCAAGCAATTAAGTGGATCGGAATGAGTACAGCTCAGCAAACGAAAACCAAAATTACGCGAAAACTGTGATGTAACAAAAGACAAACAAAAAGAAAGAGGTATAGCTATTAGGGCAATGTGAGGTTAATCACACTATCTTTGCGTATACAGAGGTTCGACTGAGGTTGTTTGATAAAGATAAATTCTGCAAAATAAAGTAACCAGGGTTTTCTGCGCATATTAAAAGGCCTGACTGATTTCATCGGTATTTGGCGTGTCAATCAAGTACTTAGGGTCTGTACTTATAAACACTTCGTCACTTTTTATTTGAATACTGTGAGGGGATTTTAGTCAGTTTTTAGCTATGCCTCAGGTGCTGCTTCACCATCATCTCCTTTTGTCTTCTGAGTACCCTGAAGTACGTATAATTTATTTCCTCTCCTGACATTTGCCCTTTTCTTCACCCCATTATCATCCTATAAGTGATGATTGTGTTTCATCAACAGTAGTGTACACCGCAGTAGAGTACACCGCAATCAAATCTGGTAGTGTTATACAAGAGATCGTATTCTTGAATGTTAACGTCAAAGAGGGATGGCATTTAGAAAAAAACATTTTGTTTTTGTTCACTTCTTTTTTTCTATGCTTTTCTGAATTTGGACACTTCAAACTATAATGTACTACCGTTCCAGTTTATTCCTTGATCTTTCTATTTCCATTTAACTGATATTTGTACTTTGATCGACTTATAATAGAATAAATTACTTTGAAATGGCTATTTTTAGAAAATAAAATAACACGTTTCATTCCTGCAGAGCTATTGAACAGACTTTTTTTGACAATGAGTATGAATTTCTCTTCCAGGAGGAATATATATTTATACCAAAAGTTAAACAGTTACTTCTACAATAAACTATTATTCTTTTTGCCATTTCTGGATTAACGCAAATAGTTAATAGTTAAATTTTCAAATTTTCTTCCAGGTCATATCAAATTTACCTGCGACACACTTTATATTATCTATTATAATCTTCTTGTTTTCCATCTGTGGAGTCACTGATGTACCGTATTTAAGTCTTTATTTGATGAGTGAACCTTTTCTTTGGAATACACAAGCGCTCGGTTTATTCGTGTGAGTGTTTATTTGTTTTAGTTTGTAATGTAATATTGTTTGGATTCACTCACTACATATATATATATATATATATATATATATATATATATGTATATACTGAATAAGTTATTGTTACCTAGATGACGTTTACGAATGAAGTTTATTGTACTTCTTTCAGAAAATATTGACCTGTAATTTTATCCATTATTGTTAGTGGGAATCTTTGTCTGAATGTATCGTCTTGATCACAGTTTAGTTATTCCCTTGTGTAAATGATTAGTAGTTATATAATGATTTGTCTGAAGAACACCAGAACACATCTTTTCGAAACTGCAATTCAGATGTTTTTATTTAGAACATTTACAACTTCACGGCTTATCGCTTTTTTTAACCAAAAGTCACGGAGTCAGTGATTGAATGATAAGATACCGGCTTTGTAGAGTGAATGTCGTGAACTCAAACCCTAGTGGGTCTTAGGTGTGCATTAATCAAAAGCATCTAACTGCAAATAAGCAGTTGTCCTAGTGATCCTGCTTTTAGTTGTTTCTTCAATCGATATCTGGAAATTACACATCTTTCGTGTTATGTTCCGTAGGCTTTCATAGTCCTTCTGGATAACTTCTGAAGCTCTAACGTTGCAGTGAGCTACACATCTTCCTGCTGATTATGAAAATTCCATGTCTGTCTTGCTTTAACTTCATTCGGATAAAGTCTTTTTTGTTTGTTTGATTGGTTGGAGGATTTCATCATGAGCTGACATCAATTAGAAAACCATTAGAAAACCTGGGATCACTGGACAGCTGTTTAGTCCTGGTTTGAGACTCTTCATCAGCACGCAGGAACTTCTGGTTACAAGGCGGGCTCGTAGAGTATTAAGCCACTGCGAAGTCAGCTCATGATGAAATCCTCCGATCAATCGAACAAAAAAAAATCTCTGCAAAATCGATACTTGAAAAGCCAGCTTTGACAATAATTGATTGCCAGGAATTTCCGTAACTCTGGATGCGAATACTTATATGGAACTTTTCATCAAGCTGATATCACCCCTCATTAGGTGCTCGACAGTATGATAGACATCGTTTTCTGGACTGTATTTGTGGTGAGAGCTGTCTGTTAGCCAAAATTGTAGACAACAATTTACGTCAATGTTTACGTCCCGAATCGGAGTCATGAGAAAAAAACAATAACAAAGCTTAACCTTGAGGAACTCACCAACCAGTCACAGCAAACTTAACGAGTACAAATACGATCCGCAGATAAATGGCCTGACTTTCTAATAAACGACCACAAAGAAATGACAGAATAACCTTGAGCAAGAAAACAACCAGTCAGAAAACGTTGCTTCTCTGCTAACAAGGACGAATAATAATGTACATAAAAATCTATAAATATCTGTTGATTTTCTCAATAAACCATCTGTTGCCTGCCCCTTGTCTTCTGTCGTTACATATTAACCTTACAGTATCTCTTGAAACTTATCAGTCCTTAGTGTACCATACAGTTTTATATCTCCTATATTTTCTGGCTAACCTAGTGTCGAGAATACAATATGTTTAAGAGTTTTGCCGATAGTGACCAACATCTGTTCTCGTTATCTCTTCAACGTTCGATTGAATAATGACACATTAGTTATGCAGCCTTTATAACACAATAATAACGGTAATAAGTGACACGTGTTGAAACTAAAGCTCTAATTTTGCTAGTTCATTTAAGTATGCATACTGGAAAAGTATCGGGAACGTTTCCGAAATATATTCAAACAGATTTATCAGTACTGGAAGTTATCTCTACAGAATTGTTTATGTTTAAGCTAAATTAGTGAATTATTCGGGTAATTTTTTATCTATTGCCTGGAAATCTGAGTGAGACAATAGTTTTGTTAAGTACGTAAAATGGTTTTGTATTTCAATCACTTATTTACACTCACTTATTCCTCACCTACTCAATCGATTAGTGTCAGTCATGTACAGTGTTTATTGGAGGAGTATCCTAGTGTCTGTCCAACAACCAACGTTTTTACAGGTAAATAATCTTCAAAGGAGACATTTTCGTTTTAGATAACTTAGTCGTAACACGAAAATCTTGATGAGAACCTTTTCCTCTATCTAAGAAATTGAAGGTTACTTCATTCACTTATCTAGAGAGGGAGCGTCGTCTCAACTACAGGCAGTCAGAACGAACGAGGATGTCAAATCGAGCGAGAATCGGGAAGGCCAGCGAGAAACACATTCATCAACCTGACTGAAACCAATCTGGAAATCTTCATCACTCAGCCAGTATCAACAACAAAATCAGTCGGATTTTCAATACAAACGTCAAGTCAGTCAGTCAGTTCTTCTATACGGATCGGATCAGAAACTTAGCGGGTGGGTCACAAAGAATATTTCCACCAACAGCCTGTTGCAGACCTTCATCAACAAGTAACTGTCTTCGCTGGCTCTATACTGAAGATCAGATGGCTGGGCCGGAAAGAATCACCAACTAGGGGAAACTATGCGAACAAACAAAACAAGAACCAATCGCCAACCAACAAATATGCAGGAGGAAGTGGAGATGGAGTGAACACTCGCTGAGGCTGGAGCCGCTGGGTGACATCGCGCGAGTGTCAGGCCATTCCTTGAGTGAAACGTGAAAGGGAAGCACGCGACGGGAGTGACGTCAGTTCAAGGGTGACATGGAGGAGATCGTGTGAAGATGAGTTGAAACAGTATGGACTAACATGGATGAAGGTGAAAAGTACGGCGGAAGACAGACGCAAGTGGAGACGTGAAGTTGATGTCATATGTTTCACCAGGAACCCAAGGGAACAATAATAGTAATAATAAAGAAATTGGATATAGCATCAATGGCTTTGTGACTTCATGTTGTTAACCTAAAAACATTTCAGAATAAACAATAAGTTTTAGGGGCTTCAAGTTGTCTGTCACTAGACAATGAAATGCCTATTTTATTTTTCATTCTTAAGTGTCTAATGTTGAAAATTGCATTCTGTATCACAAGTACTATTCTTGGAATAAAGAAAATCATAATTTTTACTATTATTAAAAAAATTTGTTTATTATTATTCTCCAAAACGTAAAATCTCACTTTCTGTTTCTCTTTTTAGGGGTTTAAGAGATGTAAGCTGTACCTTCGCGTCTGTCTTGTGCGTTACTTTGGTTGTAAGACTTCAGAGGAATCAGTTTTTGCAACATAGACTTGATATCAATGATAAAGATACACCGGAATCTGTGTCTGTTTCATTCAGGAGTAGTACAACTTTTATGGATCGTTTAAAGTCTGTGGATCAGATTGTTTTGATTTTGTTGGTATTTTTTGGATTGGTCATTTTCTGCGTTCATCAAATCATTATGGGCTTAGCGTTTAAATTCCCAATGTCAACAGCAAATATTGTGATATATCTTGGTAGGGTTTTCATTTATTCGCATGATAAAGTTCTTACTCTATGTATAATCACTTTTGGTGGATTTTATCCGGATTATTTATTGGTTTTTTGGAAGTATTTCTAACACATTAATTTCAATACAATCATCATTAGGCTATTTCATTTGTTTCTATTTATGTTTTTTTTCGGTTACACATTCAAGATGACTGACTTTTACGGATATTTTAGTTGTCTGTTTTCAGTTTTTCACCCAAAGGTACATATTCGCAGTGTTTTTAAACCTTTTACGTACCGAGTGGAACGTATGGCTTCAAGCTAGAGATTTGAAGTTTTGATAACAGGGATTTTATTTTTACAAGGTGGGTTTGCTCACCTCACTCTTGACCCTCTCTCCTTACTGACATTACTACTGGCTTAAAGAGGTTTGGGAGTGCGTCGACCTGGACCACGTACATAGAGTTTGGGGACAGTCCTGCCTGTGAACAACCGACGCATACTCGATATATTTGAAGTTGGTGAGCTAGATTTGGAGTGTAAATACTGAAAGTATGGCAGGATTATTTGGGCTTTTTAGCCTTATTCAGTAGGTAACAAATCCGATGTCCCCTTCATATACACTATTGACAGTAACACAATTTATATGTGTGTTAAAAACTGTCAAAGGCATTAATGGACGATCAGTTCAAGTGGACTGAAGCAGATTTTTCAGGCACACTACGACTTCTATGTTATGGTAAAAATGCAATTGATTATGCTCACACAATTTAGTTCTTTAATTCTAGTCGTCCAGTGTTATAATGTTTGTTGTACCGTTCAGTTTGGTACATTGCACTAATTGATTGACACTGGCAAATAAATGGTATCATATGTGTCAGTTTCAAGTATGTCATTTAAAATGCCAATTTTTGTTACAGTTCAGTATAAATGTGTAAGGATTAACTAAATTATTGCAAATAAATTAAAAATACTTAAGCGATATATAAGTATTGTTGATGTGTAAAGTTATCATAGAACTGAAAACTGAAATAAGTCACAAACACAAGCTATTGCGTAACCATTCTGGAGTCATTCTCGAAGTGTAGATAATTACTTAAACGTTAGTTAACGTATTTGTTAGTATGTACTTTTAGACTCTGCTTGCGTAGTTATTTGGTTTGTTTATCTGAATTGATTGTTGTTTCCTGTACAGTAATTATTAAATTCTTTAATATTCTTCTTTTGTTTATATAACTCATTGAAGATAGCTGAAATCAAGTTAGCAATATTATGCGACCATTTCACCTTCAAGAAACAAATTATCCATCATAACTATTCTTCTAATTTTAATATGCAAATCTCACCAAGTAATACAGAGAGAGAGAGAGAGAGATGACTGCAGCACTGGGTGACGCGGGTTCGAATCTCAGAAGGGACATGAGTTCCTTCAAGGTTGCAGATACGCCTTGCTGACGAGTGTCAACTAGCACGAAACCTAGGTCCAAGGCTTCCTGCCGATTGCCTCCAACCATCTAATACCATCAAGAGATGAATATTGTCTGTTTAAGCATAGGCAACATCTTTTCACGTTCACGTTTGGTCTGATGGCCTGAATACCATCAGTATTTGTAACGTATCAAATACAGTGTTTAATTATTAGGCGATTGGACTAGCTTAGTTTTTGTAAAAGTTTTTGCAATATCCTGTATTGAGAATGATTTCATCCTAGAAGTATCAAAAGTGATTGACACTATCTTGAGAGTAAAATTTACAACTGGTAAACTCCTTAAAAAGCTTAATTGGTGGATGGTGACTAGCAGTGGAATCCAGAATCCTTAGAAAGCTTTCTATGGTATAATAATTTTCACAGTGGACATTTACTGTTATAGGTAGTATTTTCCATAGATTAGACTGTTTAGAATTTATCATTTTTCACCAGTTTCATCTGCATAATAAAGAATATTAATGTAAGCTGTTGCATGCACTAGCTGTTATTCAAGTTCGTTGACTAGTCAAATGACTGAAGCATTCCCTTTCCACTTGACTGACTCACTAATTCAATAGGTTTCAATGTAGAACTTTGCACAGATGTAAAACACTTCAAGTTTTCACACTGCGTGTAGCCCAAATAGGTAGAGAAAAGAGAGTTAGATTTAAATTGAAAATAACGATAATGAACGAAAGACGAGATAGAAACACGAAATACCACGAAGATTTAATAGATTCGGGGGATTAAAAAATAATTAATGCATCTGCACCATTGAGAATGGATTTGTGCCTTATCACCAACAGATGACTCCAGTCAGACAGTCTACACCCTACTTAACATGGCTAAAAACAAACTGACAAAGACTTTATGGACTGATTCCAAGTTTTAGTCTGACCACCTCTGAATTTTTGTCCACTTCATTCAGTGACATACTGTATGTTTTTATGCGAATTATAGTTTCTTCGTCTGTAATGTGATGACATATATATCACAATTGTAGCGTTAATCGACAAGTTACGTCTGTCGTCTTCCACATGCTGAAAAATTTCATCAGTCTTCACAAAATCATTTTCCTTACTGTAAATATTCGTCTACTGCAGTTTCGCTGCATTTATTTTCTCTGCTTTTGTCTCCGCTTTTCCCGAAGTATAACAACTGGAACTGATGCAATTTTGTGCTAGTTTTCACTTTGAAGAGTGTGAATTTCATATCCCCGCTCAATTAAATGTCAGTGATTATAAGGTTGAATTGTGTTCTGAAGATGTCATATATTGAGTTTCGGGTGGAAAATAAGACTTCAGGCTTTCAAATTCTAGTGGCAGTGATGTTTCCGTTACGTAGTGGGGTTGCTAGCCTCACTCCCAACCTTATTTTTCCAGACTTACTACGGCCTAGTAAACTTGGCTAGGTTTAAGCTTGCGTCAGCGGGAAGTCGAAGCTGGACCTTCTGTCTAGCTAGTAGCTGTCCTTCCGTTGAACTTTCAGACTGTTTCTGAAGGAACTCTAACTAACTATGGATTGACAAAAATGATTCATTTCTGAATATTCATAATTGCACTTAGCTGGGAAGCATTTTCGAAAATCAACAACTAACATGCATTAGTCGTTTTCATTATTCTTTTAAATGGTTTTATTGTCTGCTGTGTTCACTGATTTCATGATGGCTTCTTTTTGAAAGAATTATACTTTGAAGACTTAATCGTAGATATATAAGGAAGTGTGTGTACATGTAATACATTCTTTCATAATTTCTATAGGAATATGTCTATTAATTATGAAGTATGTTTTACATTGTCTTTGCTCGTGCTCATATATAAATCTGTTTTCTTTTGTAATGTTGCATAGCTACAATACCAAGATTTACGAAGGGTCTTCAAATACCCATACTACGAACAATGTTATCCAAATGGACAGAAGTTTCTAAACAAGGTTTGAATTCGATTAACTTTGTTTATTGAAGTAATTACTTTCTTTAATCTAGTATATCTTACGCATTACGTTCTAGAAAACATCCTCTTATTGTTTTACGCCAGCCAACATATAAGGTGTTGTCAAGAAGTGATCAGCCAGACGGTAGCTTTGAATTACAGTTTCTCCTGTCTCCTAAGTATTTTCACAGAATGCTTACTCTTATAACGAAAATTTCGATAACTAGATGAATACCGGGATTTCCTCTATAATTAAATTTGAATCCTTCACCATATTTGTGTATTATTATTTCCTTGGGCTCCTAGTTGAATATAGGACTTCAACTTCACGTCTCCACTTGCTTCTGTCTTCCGCCGTACTTTTCACCTTCATCCATGTTAGTCCATACTGTTTCAACTCATCTTCACACGATCTCCTCCATGTCACCCTTGAACTGACGTCCCACTCGCCACGTGCTTCCCTTTCGGGTTCCACTCGAGGAATGGCCTGACGCGCGCGCTATGTCACCCAACGGCCTCCAGCGTCAGCGAGTGTCCGATCCATTTCCACTTTCACCTGCATATTTGTTGGTTGGCGATTGGTTCTTGTTTTGTTTGTTCGCATAGTTTCCCCTAGTTGGTGATTCTTTCCGGCCCGGCCATTGATCTTCAGTATAGAGCCAGCGAAGACGGTTAGTTGTTGATGAAGGTCTGCGATAGGCTGTTGGTGGAAATATTCTTTGTGACCACCCGCTAAGTTTCTGATCCGATCCGTATAGAAGAACTGACTGACTGACTTGACGTTTGTATTGAAAATCCGACGGATTTTGTTGTTGATACTGGCTGAGTGACAAAGATTTCCAGATTGGTTTCAGGTTGATGAATGTGTTTCTCGCCTTCCCGATTCTCGCTCGATTTGACATCCTCGTTCGTTGACTGCCTGTAGTTGAGAGAATGCTCCCTTAGATAAGTGAATGAAGTAACCTCTTTCAAATCTCCCGTTGATGGTGATTGACGTTGGATGTTGTTGCTGTTGTTGGTTGGTTATTTTCATAACTCCGTCTTGTCTATGTTTACCTGGAGTCCTGTCTTCGCCGCTGCTTCTTCGACCAGTTTGTCGGTTTCCGCTTGTAAGTCTTCGATTGTGTGTGACATCAAACATATATCATCCACGCCGAAATCCAGGTCTTCTAGGTTCTTCACGTCAGTCCGGGATATTCATGTCTTCTCGTTTCCCACTGTCTGACGCATAATCCAATCAGTCCACCACAATTAGGAATATCATTGATGATAATAAGGAAGCGCCCTTGTCTGACTCCTGTGTTTACTCCAAACACCTTGCTGAGTTTTCCGTTGTGGATGACTTGACATGTACCGTCGTCGTACAGCTGTTTGATAAGGTTGATGAATATTTTGGCGTACACGCCGTAGTACTCGAGTAATTTCCAAATTATTTCACGATCAACGCTGTCGAAGGCCTTCTCAAAGTCTATAAAGTTGAGGTAGAGGTTTGATCGCCATTCCATGCTTTGTTATGTGATGATGATGCGTAGAGTTGCAATTTGGTCAGTACATGATTTGCCTTTCCTGAATCCAGCTTGTTCTGGTCGAAGTTCTGTCTCCAGTGCGTCTTTTAATCTCTCCAGGATGATGCGACTCAGAATTTTACTTGGCGTCGATAGGAGCATGATTCCTCGTCAGTTCTTGCAGAGTGTGGCCTAAGTCGCCCTTCTTTGGTAGTTTCACGAGGTAAGCTTTCCTCCAGTCAGTGTGCACCTTTTCCTCCTTCCAGACCTTTTGCAATAATGGAGTCAGCATGTCTGCCGTCGTCTCTGGTCCGCTCTCAGTACTTCAGGGGGTATTAGTAGTATATACTATGGTGTTATTATATTATTCATGTTTTATGGCCGTAAGCCAATCGGATATTGTAATTAGAGTATTTCGAGTTTACAGAGGAAACCATTGATAAATTTAATTTTAACTGGATTTTGAAAATAAGTAATTCATTCCTATGTGATTTTCTTTTACCCAGTTGTTTAAACTATATAATCAAATAGATGAACTACTAATTAGGTTTCCTGTATTTTGATTACCTCTGACTAGCCAGGCATGCTTCGAGAACAGTACAAGTGCTTTCAGTTAGTTTTGTGCATGAGTGATGACTGATGACTTAAGTTGCCAGACGATTCGAGTCGATGTTTAGTGGAATACTAACCAGATGTTCTGCTGAGACCATGCGCAATGTGGTTTTAATTTCACTCTAGTCATCTATTTCAATTTGTCAACCAACAGCTATTTCAAATCGTCAACAACATTTATATCTTTAGTATATATATATATATATATATATATATATATGCAGTCACACTACTTAGTTCAGCTTTCGGTACTCAACTTGTACCTGAATCCATTAAAGTAACTTTTATTTTGCATTGGTGTTTGACAATAATTTATCCTAATAACAAGGTCACGACACATTCATTATTAAAATCTGATTTTACTTATTCGACTAATACATCTTATTACTCATTTATTTATAAGATGTATAAAGGCATCTGTTTCGTTGACATTCGCTCATTGATTTGTTGTTTTCCTGAATGTGTATTTCATCATAATATAAAATATTTAGTTTTCAGACCTAGATGTGACGTAACATAAATTGGTTTGCCATTTTCACTGTGATAAATAACTATAAGTTCAGGATTTCATCATGAGCTGACACTAGTTAGAGAACCATTGGAAAACCTGGGAGTACTGGACAGCTGTTTCGTCCTAGTTTGGGACTCTTCATCAGTATGCACCCACCGGGATTCGGTTCTCTAGCTAATGTCAGCTCATGATGAAATCCTGAAACCAATCAAATCCCTACAAACCATCACTTGAATACCAATGAGATGCTCACGGGCAACTGACCCTATTCAGGTAGGTAGTTACCTGGGTTCCAGTGGGAAGTCGTGACCAGTAGGGTGCAGCCGGTCGGGTGTGAGGACAAATACTCGCCGAAGACATTGGCTAGCGGTCGCGCTATGTCGTGAATTGGCAGAAGTTAGAATTCAAGGACCATTGGATCGGGTCCCAGTGGTTTAATGGTATACGAGCTTGCCTTGTAACCGGAAGGTCCTGGGTTCGAATGATGGCGGTGGGTGCGTACCGCTGAAGAGTCCCAAACTAGGACGAAACAGCTGTCCAGTACTCCCAGGTTTTCCAATGGTTCTCTAACTAATATCAGCTCATGATGAAGTCCTGAAACCAATCAAATCCCTACAAACCATCACTTGAACTATAAGTTCAGTTTTATGGGTCATTTTTTGCTTTATCGCTACTATATCAGTAATTTTTTCCCAGATAATGTTGCTAATTAATTTATGTAATTAAATGCAGCTGACATAGAGATTTCAACTCATGTTTTGACAAACTTTCGTTAATTTTCTGCAAGTATGCTATGTGCTTTGCTCCATCCAAGTGCTAAAGGCTGTTGCAAAATTGGCAAAAGCCTGTATACGCATTCATTCTTACAAATGATCTTACACAAAAATCGGCAGTTGTGTCAGTCCTGACGATGTGACTTAAAATATAAAAGAAAAGAAACCATCTTGGGCCACATCTGGTGCCGTCGTGGTGTTTCTCTGCGAGTAAAAGCACTTGTTTTGTAAACATTTGGTGCACGCAGTCCTACTCTACATTTGCAAAATCCCACCTCTCAATGGGTAGTATGTTCCATCAACATTGTCACCGTAAGATAATCCGTATCTGGTGGTACCATCGTGTAAGTAGTACTGAAGTCTGACTGCATATGTTGGTACATGACAAAGTTTGTCCCTTCAATAAGTTTTGTCATCAGTCGGCGCCACTTTTGATAACCTGAACTTGTGTTACTAAAATCAGCCACGCATCCTTCATCCTTCGGTGTGTCACTACTTGATGAGTGGGACGTTGATGAGACTCAGGGCTGTAGTTGTCATTAGAATCGAAATCAATGCTGAACACACTAAAATTTCTTCCTTTCTCCACTTTTTGAAAGTAATATGAAGTAATAAGGGCTCTTTTGAATGCCCCTCACGTGTATATAACCGTTTATTTCTCTTTTCTTTTGGTCATTGCTCTATTACATTGTTAAGTTCAGCACTTTGTACAAGTATTACACAAGACTTTTGATTCGAATGAATAAATAATTATTCCTCCTTCATTGTTTTTCAGGTTTAATTATGTCCATAATTGCGGTGATCGAACGTCTTGGAATTATGATCAGTGCTACAGTCCTCCCATTGTATATGCTTCGACAATAAGCGCATTCAAAGGGTCTGTGTTTTTGGTTTGCGCCTGCATAAGCTTCTTGGGAGCATTGTTAGCTTTGTAAGTTTCCCCTCATGAAAATGTCTTGTGATAACTTTACTTAGTAGTTCAGCCGTATCTAGTATAGTCACTAACCAAACACGCAGTCCCCGTCTAGCCGGTAGTTAGCCCAATGAATCGGGAAGGCTGGGCCATAACTTATCAACACCTCTGCTACTGAAAATTCAAAACTCAAGCTTTAATTTGCATGTTCCATTGGGAACGTTATGTAATAAAATAAAATTTAAAAAATTGACTCAATTTCTAGTTGTTACAATCTAAGTCTTTATATCTGTTAATTATATCTTACCTTTATGTTCTCAGTGCATTGAAATTATGTATTTTGTGAATAAAACCTGTAATTTGGCAGGTAGATATTAAAACATATAATTAGCGTAGTAATTGATTTCAAGTTCGACCAGTGATTGGTTATGTTGGACCAAAATGTTCAGCGTCTGTATTGAGATGTCGACGATGTCTAAAGAATAAAACGATGTTTTTTGGTTAACGTTAGATAGCGACGAAATTCATGATCATTTCTGAGCTCCAGTCTCATTGGAAACCACCACTCACTCACTCACTCGAGATGCAATTTCATCCAGATGAAGGGCCCGAAATTAGGGGAAATGGATCCTACTGAAAGCCACTATTAAACAAATAATGAAAAGGTATGAAGACTATGGCTTTTTATAGAGATTCGGCTATTATCACGACCCAGTATCATAGATATCTGTCCTCTCCTAGTTTGGGACTCTTCATAAGTACGCACCCATGACCCATGGGGGATCGGAGCTTCAGATTACGAGTGAGCTCGTTGACCATTCAATCACTGCGATGGAATCTGACGGTCGATGAATTATAACTTCTGTCAATTTGCGATTTTCCGCTACATCTCCAGCCAATGTCATTGGCGAGTATTTGTCCTCACACTCGACCTAGTAGACCTCCCTGTAGGTCCTGGGTTCTATCCTGGTAGGATTATGGTTGAGTACTTCTGGAGAGTTCTTATTCTGTTTTTAATATGCGTATCCTGGCAGATAGAATGTACACAAATGAAATGGGTGCTTTATTCCTTTTGTAAACTATTCGAATTGTATGATAAACTGTCACTTATGCATAATCCATTAGGATGTATTAGCAAGAAAGCGAAATATGACAATAATTAATTAATGATGTAAATATAACAAATACTATATTTTCTAACCTGAGTGAATCCTTTGATTAATTGCTTGTTTTGACATTCGTAATAGATGGTGTCTATACGCCGTTCTGCAAACTCTCCCAAAGATTGAAAATAACCACTGTATACATAAGTTACACCCTACTATAATGTAATTAGCCGATAAATTAACAAGTTGGTTCTACTTTGATGTGTGAATAGAATTCGAATATATCGGTAGGGCATGATTGCATAACAAAATAATTTTGTTTAATAAAATATACTGTAATACAGTATTACTTACTGATGACGCTTCGAACACAATCCATCGCTCCAAATACCATGATAATCACATAACTTTGAAATTTTGTTTACACAGTTCCATTACTTCTTATGCCTTGATTTTACTGGTGATAATTTTTTCTATGATCGGAAAAGCAAGTCAAGCCTTCATTACTCACGTCAAGTCTGTGTGGAGGTCAACATCACTCAGCATCAAAAATAAGATCTGGATTTTCAACTCCAATGTGAATTCAGTCAGTGCTACTTAGCATACGGATCAGAGACTTGGCCAGCGCGTCATAAAGAGCATCTCAAACAAACTTCAGACCTTCATTAACAGTTGTCTTCGCTCAATACTCAAGATCAGATGGCCAGAAAAGATCAGCAACAGGATGGAATCTCTGGCAATGAGCGAACCATCCCAACAGGAACCGACTGTGAAACAAATAGGCAGGAAGAAATGGAGATGGATTGGCTGGCCATACTCTGAGGAAATAAACCATCAAGTGACATCACTAGACAAGCCATTGCTCAAGTGGAACCGAAAGGGAAGCGGGCGGTGAGTTGATCGTCAGTGCAGGGGTGACTTAGAGGAGATCATGCGACGAGGAGATGAAAGCATATGAGCAGACTTGGAACGGGGTGAAAAAGTTGGCAGAAAACCGAAGGCAATGGAGACGCGCAGCTGAAGTCCTATGTTCCTCTAAAAATTAAAGGAAGTGATAATAATAATCACTCATATTTCCTATTGTGAGCACTGGAATATTAGTAAGCCGACTATTTTAACTAGAAAGAATAGAACACGAAGTTCAGCAAAGATATCTTTTCGGCGATTTCATTCTCAAAAGCTGTACAATCGCATTTATATAGATTATTTTACATGGATACAATTATTATTTGTTTAATTTCACATAGTAACGAAGGTGATAATAATTTTCAACTTGATATGATAGTTTGAAGGTACGAATATAGATTACAAGGGGCTTAGAAACAAGATTTCATAGGATTAGAAAATAGTTACAACGTATGCAAAAAATTAATATTTGATAACTGGGGAATAATTTTAAAGGTGAATCAAAGGTGATAGTTATTTTCGACTTGATATGAACTACAAGAGGCTTAGAAACGCAGGGATAGAACGATCACGTTTTGAGAGGACGCGTGTTAGAGAACACTATCCAGCGTGGCTGCAAAGAGGAGGCACCGGTTCAATCAGAAGTGCCATTAATGAACATCTGGTCAACACCTCCCACAAAATCCCAACCGATTATTTCAAAGTGATTTACAAAGTCAACAGAAACCTACCAAGAGCAATATGTTTCCGACTTCTTTGTACTGCAGAAGCCCTTGCAATATGCATCGAGAAGCCGGAGCTGTGTGTTCAAAAGAAGTTAGTCCAACCTCTACAACTACCACGGACCTAGCTTGGTATGTTCCCTTTGTTTCCGTCTTTTTTTTCTCCTCCTCGTCTGTTTTCGTTCTCGCTTTTTCCTTTAGAGCATTTTGCGTTCGCTGTGTATCTGATTCTTAGTCCCTCAATCTTCGTTTAATCCACCTAATTTTTTTTTCAGCTATAAAAACAGTTATTTTAAGTTTGTTTCCATGCTTTTCCCTGTTCACATTTATAATTCGTTTGAAATAACTATTTTACAATTATATCTTAATCCTGTGCAAGTTTTGTGTTTCTGAGGGTTTTGTAATCTATATTCACACGTCCTGACTTTCATTTCAGGCTCAAATTATTTTTTCAGTTATAAAACTAGTTATTTTAATTTTGTTTCCATGCTCCTCCTGATCACACTTGTAATCCGTTTAGAATAACCATTTTACAATTATATTCTAATCCTGTGTAATTTTTTGTTTCTATGCCTCTTGTAATCTATATTCGTACCTTCAAACTATCATATCAAGTTGAAAATTATTATCACCTTCGTTACTATGTGAAATTAAACAAATAATAATTGTATCCATGTAAAATAATCTATATAAATGCGATTGTACAGCTTTTGAGAATGAAATCGCCGAAAAGATATCTTTGCTGAACTTCGTGTTCTCTTCTTTCTAATGTCCATATGGGTATTTTAACCACCTCGAATCATAGCTGAAGAGTCATGATAATCCATATGTCTTTTAAAAATATATACATCATACCTTTGAAGAATGATACAAATTGGCTAAATAAAATGAGTCCTTTGTATTTTTAGGATCATACCACTATATGCTCCAAGAGTATCAGCATGAATTGTTGTCGCAGTGGATACTGTTTTTTCTTCTGTCTATCAGTTCCAATCATCACAGCTGAATAATAATACTATCTGAATCAATTATTGTATTGAGGACAAAGTGAAATAAACCACCACTTATTATTATTATTTTCTCTCATAAATATCATTATCTTTTAAGAAAAAAGACGGAATCACCTCATACATTTTGTTTTCCAATTTTGATAAATTTTCGTTCCCTTATATACGTTTAAATTTTTTTATTAACAAGACTGATAGTTGATTTACACTGTAAAATAGCTTATTTCGCTTTACAGGCTGTGCTTTTGTTGTTATTGCTATTGTTATCTTCACATTTTTGTGATAAGCTATAGAAGAATGTGATTTTATTTTCTTCGAACAAAATACCTATCAGTGATCATATGATGTATTATGTAGACAGTCATCTTTTACAACAGGAATTTTGCTAATTAATTAACTGAAAAAGAAACAGTCTAGATTATTGATGAAACACTGTTACCTTAGTATATTTTGTTTTCCTCGTTGACAGACATCAGGGTGACCAGAAGAGCCATAACAGTGAAATCTTTGAAAGGAATGTTCCCCCAATATTATATAACTAGTATACATTGGCCAGTTTATTCCTTTCAGTTAGGTCTCTCTGTCTGTTTTCGACATAAAACTTTGCACCGATGTGCGGCAGTTCAAGTCACCACGCTCCATGTAACACACAAAGCAAAAGAAGAGAAAGTAGAAGAAATGCATAGTAGAGACAGTAAACAGGGGTGTGAGACAAAGAAATAGTAATAACGAAGAGCAATATAGTTTCATTGGAAATCATAAATCACAAGGAGTGGACGCATCTGCGCCAGCCATTGAGAATGATTTTGAACCATGTCACCGATTGTTTCCAGCCATTGGTTTTTACCATCCCGAGGACCCCAACCAGCCAAGAAGTCTACACCTTCCTACGTGGCTTAGACTAACTGTGTAGATTTCATTGACTGGTGCCATGTTTTTGTTTGACTGCCGCTAGGTTTTTTCCAGCCTGACCCTGTATCAGCTAACATTGCTCGTCGAGGAAGGCGATGACTATGCATACATAACACATGTCCTAACCATCTCAGTCTTTGTAACTTCACGACTTCGTCGATTGATTTTCCCTGTTTACCTAGCACTCGACGGATGCCTAACCTCAATATTGCTCACCTTATTATATCACTTCACACGGGAGATAGAGCGCAGGGACGTATGATCAAAGACAGCTAGCCAGCCTTTTCATGTCTTCCATTCTCAATGGCCACGTCTCACAGCTGGCCATAAAGGAGGATGGAGCGAACTGCTGAGCAGTAAACACGTCCTTTGGTCAACAGCCAGCTGGATATCACGTCTGCTGCAGAGGCGGTGTAAACTGGCATATGCGAAACTAGCCCTCTGTATCCGTACTGAGATTTCGTCGGAGATCAACCCGTTGGGTTTGATATTACTTTCAGTTAGGTAAGAATAATAAAGTCATTAGGTGTCTGTGGTTTCGTTCCCCGCCAACACATTCGTAGACCTAGCCTTGTTCGCTGGACGTGAGACTCGCTCGTAACACTCCACTTTGGAAAAATAAAAACACAACTAACACTTCAAATCTTGAAGCTGTGTATTCCACTCAGAGTGCTAAGGAATGAAAAATGATTCATTCTGTTTCTTAACCTTTTCAACTATATACAGCTTATAGATTGATAAGCAACATTTGCATCCTAATGAATATTTAGAAAATTATCGATTGTTGAAAGTTAATATAGAGTAGACCTGTATTAGTTGACGTATGCAAATTATGCCTATCACTAAATAAAACTCTAATAGATAACATTGCATAGGTGTGTACGATAAGATAATACCCTGAGTACCAAATGAAAAAAGCTGAATTTATTGCTCCTGTTGGCTTCCTATATTTCTTAGTTGACAGTTTATATATATATATATATATATCATTTTGTACTCGTTCTTCTTCTTATATCCAGAATTATATTCCAGGTTGTTAGCAGTTGTACTAACTTACCCTGTTACATGTATTCAGCGTTACCTTAATGAATATCGATTCTTTTATTAGTCTTTCTTTCAGAATACAAGTATTGTCCCAATCATTGTTGTGGTTTTTATCCCATACAATAAGAATATAAAGTAAAATGAGATGAAATAACTCAATAATGCGTCTGTTTATGTCAATGGTGTGGTTCAGACTTAAAAGTACCATTAGGGAACCATTATCACATAATAATCAATTTAATGAAATGGAATGAACAATATTGTGTAAAAATATAATAACCAGTTTGAAAAGCATTACGTGAACTTAAGGAAATATATGTCATAAAAAAGATCTTGAAGTCGTAAATGGTCTGAAGTAAACGTCTGTCAATCAGACAAAGGAAAACAAAATAATGAGATAGGAATTTAAAGTCTCAGTGTTTATGGAGGAGCTGTTGACACTATTGTAGACCAAGATAAACGAAGCTGTTTGACATGCTTCTTCTGGATACAGACACTAGGTTTCCTGGTATTGATTGCTACCGCTTCACGTACTGATAGAAAACGTAGTTGAGCTCCTGTGATTAGATTACCTGGAACGCGGTAGAGATGTAATATTTCAAATTATACTCAAGGTTAAAGGCTTGTATGAAGTCACGTTTAATGTTAACGTAACTTGTTTATACCTATCTGTTTTAGTTAGACAAATTTTTAATGAATGTGAAATATTTCAAATAATTTGTTCAATTACATAAAATAAATCAATATCCATATCCTCTCTTATTATGGTAAATAAAACTTGTCAAGATGTTCATATGAACAAATGCTAGTTAATAATTGTATGATTATCCAGTGACTTTAAAACACCATACAATAATGACCTAATAATGATCATGAGGCTCCAGGTCTTAAAGGTTTTTCTTCAGAAAAAACCATTGAAGATATTTAATTTTCCCGTGTTATTTTACTGTCATAATAGTGATAATTTGTGCTTAGTTATTTGTACATGAGTGACGCCAGTTTATAGCTGTCATCATGATGGTAGTAGTGTCAAGTACTAACTGATGCAGAATTAATTAGTTGTGTTTTTGTTGGACATATGGAAGTAACCATTAGATTTTGTGCCTATTGGCACCCTTCAGAAAGTTGTACCTGCTCCCTCGAATGGGCTGATTTCCCAGTGAGATTCGAACCTCTATCAGCTAATATTATATTCAGAGACACTAATACTGAGTTTGATATACAGGAATTGTAATCAACACATTGATTATCTACTTCGGAGTAGTCATTGTTACATTTATTCACTCATCTCTTAGTTAGAAATGATCGAAGTGAGTACTTTTCATAAACGAATAAATAAGCTTGTACGTCAGGTAGATTTTCAACAAACGCATACCGTCGTTGGCTCTTAAGGTGAATCTACTGCGAACTGAGAGATGGACCGGAGTTGCTACCTAAAGAATTTTGCCTCAGTGTAAATTAGAGTTAGTTCATAGGTTTGGTTCAGCAGGAAAGCTTTGGGGTTTCGTGAGACTTCATATTTTGGTGATTTTTTCACACTTCTCATCCTTACTGATGTACATTGATGTTATCGACAGACATACGTGTTTGAACTTCTGTATCAAATCTGTTTGACGAATATAGTCACAACATGTGTAGTTTTAAGAACTCTCACTTGTAATAAAGGTTTTTTGTATTTTCCAGTAAATGAAAAACAAAAAGATATTGTTTTTTTTCATTCATTGGGAAATACAAAAACACTTTTATTATAATGAATATCATATACCCAATGCCCAAATTTTTTCAAACCGTTAAAAGTGAACTTGGTTTGGACATATATATATATATATATATATATATATATATATATATATATATATATAACTCTTACTTGTGTTTCGTAGTATTCTGCTGAAATTCCAATTCTGTTTAGTTTGCTAACAATTCCATATATTTCCTCCATTTGTAGAAGTTTAAGTAATTAGTGTAGTGATACTTTCAAACATCAATTCAGTTTGACTGAAAGAAGGGCAGAATCTCTTCATTTCTATAGTAGAGGGAATAAATTTTACATCTGAATCGGAAAATGAACAAGGACAATTAGTTATATTAGATTGTGAAATAAAGCGAATAGAAGAAGGTAAACTTCACACTAGTTTTTATAAGAACCAAAACATTCTAATAGATATATTTAGACTTTAATTCATCTAATCCGTTTTCCGTACAGGCTGGTTCAGTTAAATGCCTAACAAACTGAGCAATAGCACTAAGTAGTACAACAAAAGACCTAAATGATAAAATGGAACAGATAGAAGAGGCGTTGGTGTTGAATAACTATCCTATAAAATTCATTAGGAAGATGAGGAAAGGTCAAAAGCAAAATAAAAATAATGGTGAAACTAATAATGATAACATATATAAGAAGAAATATAAGGCAAGAATTACACTCTATCACAATGCCCAGGTCCTATTCTTATAATAATAATAAAATTTACTAACTGAATAAGACTATGAGTGGTAATTGAAACAAATTGTTGCAGTATGCATTGGATGCATACAGTCAGGAAATTAACTATGCCAAGCATTTGTTCACCGTATGGAGTAGGGAATGCAAGAGGCAAGACAATTTTCGAATCTTATCAGCCTAATTATTGTGAAATTATTCGGTCAAATGTTGATCACAGTTCGGATGAATCCACTTATTGGTTTTTTGAAATCTTGTGGATAACTGTTTTTGACTTTTGTTTCTTCGCCGTAGTAGTTAATAGTTTTCGATTTATTTCTGCATTTGCGCCATAGTTTGTTCAATTAAATAGATGGAGTTTTCGGATGGAGAGTTCTGCTGAAATTCATAGACTCATTGAATTGTATTTCACCAACTATCTTTTCGTGGTTTAAATTTCAAGATTTCTTTTAAATAGTAGTCTGGGAAAATGGAATAGTACTTTTTCCCATAAACTAGTTGTGGAGGAATTCCAGTATGCTTCACCTATGTGAAAACACTAGAATTATGAAAAGTTACCCATCTTATGAAAGGAAAATTGTGGTTTTCCCTATTCTATCAACCATGGTAATGGTCAAAATATTGATGGTGATAACACAGGTGACTGTACCCACTTCACTGTGATCAGGTGCAAGTTGATAATATCTATCCATATGGCGAGAAGTGAGAATCCGATCAATTCTAAGTCAAAAACTTGTTTATCAACTGTCATACTGAGTATTGTAAAATTCAGAGTATTTTTCACAAGCCCAGTTCATGTTCAGTATTATTTACTGTTGTAAACATTTGATGAGATTATTGATATTTTACTTCCCCTTGTCGAGAATCTTTAGTAGATGCCTTTACACGCTGAATTAATGAACTGTAGTTCTCCTTGGCTTGTTTTAAGAATGAAAAGCCTCTAAAAATTTCATTAGGTCGGTCAAAACCACTCAGGTACCCCACACACAATGTTACTGTTTGCACCTATTTATAGGAGTACATCTATTTAAATTTTACAGTAACTTTATATTTCCATCAGATATATGAGATTCAACTTCATAAGACAAAGTGGCACTGCTATAAATATTAATTTTAGTGGAAATCATTAATTGTGCTGCCTGAAATCTTCATTTTATTGATACTGTATTGAAATACCCAGTGATCGAAACCGGAGTAAATCCAAATAGTACTGGATTCCAGGAAGGGCTAAAATGATTACAGGAACAGAATTCCTAA